TGCTTAATAATTGCCTTATAATAAAGTCCGTACTACTGCGTTTCTTAACTTGATGAATTAATTTTTTTTTCAACATACAATATTTGCAACTTGAGTAAACAATAATCCATTGCAGAAACATGTATCAATACATTATGGAGTAGTTAGAGCTACACAGTCTTACAGTTACAACCGACCCTTCAAGGCCAACTGTATTGCTGATGTGGCCCCCTGGTGAAAATGAGTTTGACGTCCCCTGCCATACTGGCAAAAAAAGACATTGTCTTGGAAGGCCTAAAAGGAACGCTCAATTGGATTCAATCACATTCAATTCAATTACATTACACTTATTTTATTTTTTTTATTCTGATGACAATAACACCCAGATTCACCATTATTTAACCAGGGTTTAATTTTCCATTTTATATTAAGATGTGCTTTTGTTTCATTTAAAAAAAAAAAAGTCACGTCCTTGTTTGATCCTGAATATCAAAGGACTATCAGGTCCCGACAGAGCTACAGATCATTTTCTTTTCGAATTCAATTTCAGAAGAGAAAGCCAGCTCCACTTCTACTAACACTAATTATTTCCTGTCCTGGTTGCCCTACTTACACGCTGATGTTGATGGATTCTTAGTATGTATATATCTGACTCGTTTCACTGAAGCCAGAGGCTGTTTCCTGTTTCAATTAACTCAATTTACCAGTTACATTCTCTCCAAGTTTGTTCATCCATTTATTAAACATGACCAGTCCAGCGTTAACGCTGACTTTTGAAAATCTTTAAACTGCTGTAATTAGAAAAGCAATGTTCCTGTTGCGTTTTATTTTTTTCCCCAATATTTAGTCAACAGCCTTAATTTCTAGGACAAAAATCTATATGTAAACGATACAGGAAGTCATGTGGAACTAAATGAGGAATGAGGAAATATTTCAGTCAAAGTCCAATCTGTGTGGCATTTTGCTGCGTAAACAGAAGGAAAAATAAAAGTTGATGACCAATCAGAGTTTGTTGCTCATAAGGTGGTACATGTAAATGTGAACATTTGTCTGGTAGTACCGTAAACGGAAGACTGCAGCATATTGTTACCAGAACATTTCCACCAGCCCTAC